CGGCAAACCCGTGTAAAATATATAGCGGATTTGGGCGCTCTAGCCAAAACGAATCCTATTTCGGCTATTACCTTCTCCATTACTATGTTCTCATATGCAGGAATACCCCCGTTAGCCGGTTTTTGTAGCAAATTCTATTTGTTTTTCGCCGCTTTGGGTTGTGGGGCTAGGAATCTGGTTTCAGAAAACACCTAATCTGGTTTGGTTCCAGCAGTTTGATTCATCTGTTTTGTTTGGTTCGGGTGGTTTGGTCTGGTTATGTCGTTTTGTTTAAATAAGTTCGTTTGTTTGTTATGGCTGAGAAGAAATCAATCGTAACTTCTGAGGTGATCCCGATGATATCAAAAATCACATAACACGAGCACGAATAGATTATTTGTCTAACAAGTTGGGCATGATTAATATATATGCACCAACTTGGGGGGAGTGTTAGAATATAGATATTAGTATATTTTATATTCTTGTATTAATATTAATTTGTCATTTACCTTCTCCTTATAGGATTGTTTCAACCTTGTATATTTGTCTATATATATATATATAGACTTTAATAATGAGAATACATCACATTGGATTCTCTTCAACTTTAGTCTCTACATGGTGCTACCCTTGCTATTACTTTCTTCCATAAGCGTATGATATGGTCATATATTTAGGTAGGTTAGTGTAAGGTTTCGCGTACCAAATTACTGGTATTCAAGTAGAAATGACAAGCAAGAACAAGCACTAAGGCAGAACCTCGAGCCCTTTAGAGAGTGCTGGCCCTCTTCCTAGCACCTTGTCCTCAAGGTGCAAGTTCAAAAATTGCTGCTTGAAAACTGCATGGGGGGAAGGCCTTCCCAATGGACTAAGATCTCAATCTCCCGTGTGTTAGGATTGTGGCCTAAGAAGCACGGACACGGATACGGGACACGGACACGGACACGATAAGACACGGCGATACGTCAATTCCTAAAAAATTAGGAAACAGACACGTTCGGGATACGTTTTTTTTTAATATTTTTTAGGATATATGTAAATTTAACACAAAAAATGCTAAATACAATAAAATGCATAATATGAATTCAATTACATCTTTCATCAAAAGTTACAAAACAAAGTTCCAAAGGACCAATATAGTGACAAAACAAAGAAGGAAGGGACGTAAAAGAGGATTGTTTTTATTAGAGTTTACCTAAGAAAAAAAAAGAAAAACAAAGGCAGGGGCTCGGTGGCGGCAGCAAGGGCGGGCGGCGGCGTCGGCTTCGTGGGGGAGGGGTGGTGGTGGGTGGGTATTAGGTTTTTATCATTTATTTGTTTTTTTTTTTAAATTACTCATGGGCATTGGGCCTTTCTATTTAGGCCCATAAGATCTCCCAAAATGCGTGTCTGACACGTGTCCGACATAGATACTTCACCCAAAAATAAGTGTCTGTGTTTCCTAGATTGTGGCCCACTGCCATGACTTCTACTGGTGTTGCGATGAACTTGAATTCATCAGGGAGTATAGAGGGTAACGGCTGTATGGTCGTGGTTGCTCCCAAGGCACGAGCTGAGAAATGTGAAACAACGGGTGTATATGGCTGCCTCTCGTGGTAACACCAACTTGTAGGCCATGCTCCCTACCCGCTCAAGTACTTGGTAAAGGCCAAAAATTTTGGGGAGAGCTTTTCATTCCATACGTCGAGCCAGGGTTGCCTATCGGTGTGGCCTAATCTTAAGGTACACCCAATCCCCCATTGCATACTCAACCTCTCGCTCGTGCCGATCTGCATACTTTTTCATTCGTTCTTGGACAGCCGCTAAGTGGGCCTTCAAAATGGATAACGCTTGACAAATATTGGTTAGTTGTTACTCCAAAGTGGAGTTTGATGTATGGTGATCTCCATGAAGAATTGTAAGGTTGGTGGAGGTTGTCGTACACTGCCTGGAAGGGTGTCATGTTGATGGATGTATGGAAGGTTGTCTTCTGGTATTCCACCCACGTGAGCCAAGCTCCCCATTGTTTGGGTTCGTTCCTCAGAAAATCATCTTAGGTAAGTCTCTACACACTTGTTCACAACCTCAGTTTGTCTGTTGGTTTGGGGGTGGTAAGTCGTGTTGCGATGAAGTCGTGTCCCCTGCATTCGAAAAAGTTCAGTCCAAAAGTGGCTGACAAACACCTTATTCCGATCTGGTACAATGGAGTGAGGGAATTCGTGGAGCTTCACTACTGTTTTTTGTAGGTTTAGGAGAACCGACTGATTGACCATTGACCATTCTGCCTCTAAAACTAACCGACCGATTTCAATTTGGTTGATTTCGGTGAGTCTACCCGTAAAAGGTTTTTCCTAAAAGCTTTAGGATTTCAATTTCTATTTGATGATATAGTTTGGCAGATCCCACAAATTTCTTGGGATGTTATTTTTAGCACTAGATATTTACTAATATATCTTTTTGCTCTAGTGATGTTAGAATTTAGTGGCATTTTTATGTTACTTTTTATGTGAACATAATCGGTTGATATGTACTCGGTTTGTGATGTTTGGCTTATCTAGTAGGGCTATTGGTCTCTATGTTTATATTTCCATCGAAGAGTCGTTTTGCAAATGCTATGTTATTGAATTGGGATTCTTCTTAATTGATGTTGGGTCATTCTTCTCCTCCAGCAAAAATTACCATTTTCTCAACCCTCCCTTTAAGGTTTGATATGGTGGAGATGATTTTGAGTTCTATCCATAGGTATTAAGAATATTATTAGAATATTTGAAGGCCATAAGTTTTGTATTAGCTAAGGAATTTGTATGCTCGATACAGCTCTTGATCATGAAAGATCAAATTACAACATCACCCCTAATTAGTTGTGATTGGAGCAATGAAAATATTAGTACTAGTAGTGAAATAGTTGGAATATTACTAAGGGAATTTGGAGGAATATTGGATACTTTTCTTCAGCTAATAAGCTTTTCAGCGTAGTAATGATATTATTATGTGTTGTTGATTTGAAAAGTTACGGTTTAGATAATTTTATAGATTTCATAACCGAACATTAACCCAAACTTTTCAAGGCTGGATTTAAGGTGCAATTGGTTCATTCAAGTAGGTGAATCTTGAAGTGACCAACACAACCAGTGTGCACACTAACTATATGTGCCATTTATATTCCTCTTAACCTATGTAATTTTTAAAATATAGTGTATTTTCATAAACATGTAAAAATTAAATGTTATCAAATTCTTATTTGTATACGTTATTTTACTTATTCTCACGGTGGAATATCATATTTGTAGGATGATCAAATAATAATCTATATCTTAGTCTGAAATTATTTAGATGTTTGTTAAATTCATATAGTTTATGAATAGGTATTATGGCTTTTATGTGCCTTCTGTAAATCCTCCCAATCTTTTAAATATAATTTTGCTTCTTATTACCAAAAGAAATGTGTGCGTCATACTTGGACTTGCAGTTCATGTGGTATGAAAACATTATTTATGCTTTCCAGTAAATTATTTTGATTTGTAAATTTTACTAATCTTTTCTAGTAAATATAATTCTTTCAGGTACCCGCTTGAACAGCCCCGGTCAGTTTGACCCTATACTCGGTCAAAATGGAGATTTCCCGACCAATGGGAACCTAACTCCATAGATTTTTTTTTTTTTTGCCATCCCCATCTAAAGGAGAGAGTTGGAGGATCATATTAGGGTTTAAAAATCATCCAATTTTCATATATATATATATATATATATAATAAAAGGCTTTTTTAAAGTACAAATTAAATTGAAGTAACTTAAATTTATACGTATTGAATTCCAAAACAAAGTGTCACGTAGAGTTAGTATTTAAAACTAAAATAGGCGGCATACTGTTTTTATTTAATACAATGTGAAAATCTAAATTCTAAAGACGAATATTAAATTAAAATTTATGAAAATTAGAACCGTAAAATAATGTAAGAATACAAATAAAATTAGTATCAATATTTGAACATTGTCTTCTTTTATTTCTTCTCCTTTTCTTTTGGTCTTTCCAATTGTAGGCACCTCTAGAGAAAGTTGACATAAGTATCATAAAATAAATATGTATTTTTAAATATGATAAAATTTAAAAGTTTATAAAAATAACATAATTCAACGAGAGTTTAAGTTAAATGTGATATAAAAATAAAAATATAATAAAAAAGTTAAAATTATGCTAGATTTGAAAAAAATGAAACGTTGATATTTTTTTAAAAATATATATTAATTTTATGTTATTGAGTTAAATTTCCCTAACACCCACAAAATAACTTGGTCTCTTTAACTCTTGTTGGTTTTATTGCCTTATCAGGTCACAAGTTCATTCTTGATAATTAAATTATTAGTTTGTATTTAAATTCGTACTTCATTGAATTTTCAATGTAGTCATCGTATGTCAAACCTAGTTTTTTCCTTATAGATGTGAGTTCGAATCGTGAAAACAAAGTTTGCATTTGATAGTTTTTTACTTATMGATGTGAGTTCAAATCCTGAAAACAAAGTTTGCATTTGATAGTAGGGATATTCAGTGGTGGGTTGGCATTGGTTTAATGTTGGCATTGGTTTAATGTTGAAAACTTGAAACCAATCTTTTTCTTTTTTCCAAAGTTTGCGTCGACCCGATTGGTTGGTTCGACGGGTTGGTTTTGACACAAAATCGACATTGAGAGAGCAAGAAGAGGCAATACTGAGAGAAGCATAGATAGAGCAAAGAGCTTCCTTAATCCCCCTTGGTTACTAGTTCCTACAACAATAGCAGTTAGTCTCGTATATGTTGCTTTTGTTTCCTCATCTTTGTGAGAAGGGAAGGTTCTTGYCATTTGAATTAGAGGTGTTCATGGGTTGGGTTGGATCGGGTTAAGGGGTGCTTTGATCAACCTAAATTTTCGGGTTATTTAGAACAAAGAATCGATGCAACCAAACAAGAAGGCCAACCCAACCCAAACCTTATATTTTAGAGTTGGGTCGAGTTGAGTTGTCGGGTTGAGACTGGAGAGGGAGATGGAAGGAGTGAGGGGAGATGAGAGAGGGAAGACGAAGGTAAATGGGGTGAGGGGGAGGAGAGAGGAGAGGCGAGACGGTTGATTCGAAACCCTAGATTATATATATATATATATACACACTATTTTAATTTAGTATTGGGCTCGGTTCAAATGAATTGAATCGAATTTAAGGTGTCCATGCTACCTAGGTTTTCCTGAAAGCTCAAGGATTTCTATTTGATGATATATTTTGGTAGATCCCACTATAGGATATTATTCTTCACATAAGATATTTACTTGTATCTTTCTTGTAAATTTAACGGCAGTTATATGTTATTTTTTCTGTTAACATGATGGGTAGATTTCTATTCGGTTTGAGATGTTTGGCTTTTCTAGTAGGACTATTGACTCTATGTTTATACTCCATCGAAGAGTCATTTGGAGAATGCTCTACATTATTGAATCAGGTTGCTTCTTAATTTATGTTGGGTCATTCTTCTCCGACAAAATTTACCCTTTTCTCAACCCTCTATTAAGGATTTGATTGGGTGAAGATGATTTTGAGTTTTAAATTTAATACTCTATTCATAGGTATTAAGAATATTACTACATTATTTGAAGGCCGTATGTTTTGTATTAGCTAAGGAATTTGTATGCTCGATACAGCTCTTGATCATGAGAGATCCAATTACAACATCACCCTTATTTGTGTTTGGGAATTGGATTTGACCTTTTATTGACACATTCTCAACTCTCACCAAACAGGATTTTGACCTTTTATGTGTTGATTTGAGAATCTATGATTTACATCATGTTATAGATTTGATAACCCAATTCAACCCAACCATTTCATCGGCTTGATAATGAACTTTCGCAAATTATGTAATTTATAAAAGAATCGTCATACAAAATGTTAAATTTAGCACATTTTACCTTATAAAACTCATCCTATGTGATTATGAAATTAAATTTCTTTTTCATGCAAATTCATAAAGTGAATTCGAAGATATTTAAAAAATACTTGTTTTTACTCATATTTTGGAAAACACGTGCCAACTGGTTACAAATCTTTGTGATACAATATTGAATGTGAAAGTTAATGAATTGGCTTCATTTTACTAAATATTTGCAAACGTGAAATTTTGTGGAGATAATTATGCATATAATATTAAAAATAACAATTACAAAAATAATTTCTTAATTTAACTAAATAATGGAATTACTTATATGATATACTAAAATAAAGTATATCTCTGAACATTTAGTGCGATGGATATAATCATAATGTATATATCTAAAATAAAATATCATTTATATACTTGATGATATATCAATAAAAAATATTTAATGTCTTTTAAATTAAAATCTTCCATTTGAAAAAAATTTAATAGTGCAACATGGATATATTTTATATTAGGTATATTAGGAATATATTTAATATTATGTATTTTTGTTAACTATATTATTAATATTGGTTATGTTTTAAAAAAATTAATATTGGATATATTACTAATATACTTGATATATAAATAAGAAACTTACCATTTTTAACTCAAAGTATGTTGCTCACTGATATACTTCATGTTAAATCTAACAGTTATAGTCATATATCTAGTATTGGTATATCAACTATAAAATTGATGAACCTAATATCAAATATATCAAAAGTATAACGATTTTTGGAACTAAGGAGGGCAAAATTGGAATAACACAAAGAATAAAAAAATTCTAATTTTAATTTTTTATATGTATTTTTTCAAAACTAAAAAGCTATTGCTATATTTACAAATATAACTAGTGTTTTTTGCTGCCCAATACCCTACCTTTATTATTACAGCAATATTTTGTTAAATGTAAATCAATTCCGATTTTTGCTCAGCCCAGCCCAATTTCCTAAAAGAAGGGCCTCCTACCGCAGAGTTTGGTTCTGGCCCATACCCATTTAAAGGCGGCCCATTTAGGTTGGGCTATATCTGGGCCATGTCCTCCAGTTCAGAGTGGCGCGAAGTCGGTAGGATCCATCGGAGTAGAGTATGATGTTCCGATTCCGACACAGAGTTTTGGAGTTCCACAATTTCAGAGATTAATCTCACGGCGACGCCAATTAACAATCACAGTCTGATCAAAAACCCAAAACCCTTCTCGTTCCCGCCATTTCTCAGTTCTTCCGGCTCCGCTGTCTACTCTCTATCTTCCTTCTCTCTCACTCTGAAATCGCTTATTTCCGTTTGCAATTTCTGCGATTGATGCTTTCACTGCGTTCATGTTACTATCTACGCCCCGTTACAATCGCATTGCCTCATCCCCAATTCAAGAAACTCATTTTCTTCAACAAAACTCATTCTTTCAAACCCATCCTCCCGAATTTTGTTTCCGCAATGTCTTCTCGTCCTTCGGCTTTCGATGCTCTCATGTCTGGTGCTCGGGCCGCTGCCAAGAAGAAGTCTGCAACTTCAACTTCTTCTCCCAAGAAGCGTAAAGCCCTAGATTCTTTAGACCCTTCTCCAAAACCTAGCTCCTCCCACACTTTGGAGTCAATGCTGCCTGTTGAATCGCAGTGCGGCAACTCAATTTTGGACAATCCTGGAGGTTCTCATCTGGGAACGGCCGAGAACGCGGTGGATTTGGGAGAAACCAAGTTGGGTCAAGATAATGGCGGCAGTGTTGGAACCAAGAATGGGCCGGCGGGGAGTAAAACGTGCGCGACAAGTGTTCAAGAAAGAACTGCGAAATTGAAGAGTTCTATTCCAGAATTGAAAAAGAAAGCCAAGGATTTCAACTCGAAAAATGTTGCGTGTTGGAAAGAGGGCGAACGGGTCCCCTGTTTGTTTCTGTGTCTGGGCTTCGACATGATTTCTGAGGAGTCTAGTAGGATTGTTATCACCGATATTGTGTGTAACATGTTGAGGACCGTCATGGATACCACACCCGACGACTTGGTGGCCACTGTATATCTTTTGGCTAATAAGATTGCTCCAGCCCACGAAGGGCTTGAGTTGGGGATTGGGGATTCCTCTATTATCAAAGCTCTTTCTGAGGCTTTTGGAAGGACAGAGGCGCAGGTTAAAAAACAGTACAAGGTGAGGTGGCTATTGAACTCCATCCTCTAAATTTAGGATAAAAATCCTAAAGGAATGAAACACTGAGTCACTGAAATTTTCTTGTAGTCGATTGCATTATGGCAATTCAGGGATTATTAACGGCAACAAGCTGGTTGCTCCGAGTCTTGGATTAATTTCTTGTTGCAATGTGCTTTACCGAGTTATAATAGAAAAAGAATGGATGATATTGGCGTTTTTGTTTTTACTTTCGTCAGTATTAAAATGTTTCATGTGGTTGACATGTCAGAATTAATTGATTCCTGGTGTATACGGAATTTGTCACTGGATCCTATTTGAACAATGAACATTTTGTATTTCAATGTCTTAGTTGTTTGCTTTCCTGGTTTATTTGACAGGAACTAGGAGATTTAGGTCTTGTTGCCAAAGCGAGCCGTTCATCGCAGTCCATGATGCGAAAGCCTGATGCTTTAACTATTGCCAAAGTATTTGACACATTTCGGCTGATTGCTAAGGTGTGTTAGGCTTGTGATTTCAATTGCTTAATTCATAACCAATAAAMTAGGGTTCACTGGTGGTTAGTTCGACTGTGAACTACACAGAGTGTAGTTATGACCTAGTAAATTGAGCTTTTTCCTAAGTTCATAAAATTTTTCTAATATTATGGCATCCTTTTGATTGTGTAAATGTTGGGTGTGGTCTTGTGGGATTTGGCCTCTATGTTTCATGCTGTAAAATTTGTGGTGATAGAGCCATCTTTAATTTGAAAATTGCCTTTTCAACTTTTTTGAACTGTTCTCAGGAATCTGGCAAGGATAGTCAAGAGAAGAAAAAGAACCATATCAAGTCACTGCTTGTTGCTGCCACAGACTGTGAACCTTTATATCTGATTAGATTGCTGCAGGTTATATATTAGCATTGTTAGAATTATGATTGCCGGTTCCTTTTCTCTATTGCCAAATTTCTTTCTTTGTCATGCAGACAAAATTGCGAATTGGACTTGCTGAACAGACTCTTTTAGCTGCATTAGGCCAAGCTGCTGTGTATGCTGAAAAACACTCTACGCCACCACCAAACATTCAATCTCCTCTAGAAGAGGTGACTTCTTGTACTCCGAATTGGTCGGAACATTTGCTATAATTCTGATTATTCTTTCCGTTTGTCATTATCACTTTGTGCTAAGTAATTATTATAATTCTGAGACAAGCTATTTTGACATAGTACCATGTTTGGGGCTACTCCTACATACCTTGATTTGGTTACTGGTTTACTTGCACAGTGTCATTTACTGAGCTCTAAGATGTTCTATTCATTGGAAGTTTCTAACGTTATGTTTTTATCAGGCTGCTAAGACTGTAAAGCAAGTGTATTCTATACTCCCAGTTTATGATAAACTTGTCCCTGCACTTCTTACTGGTGGTGTGTGGAATCTTTCAAAAACATGCAACTTTACACCAGGTATTCCAATTGGACCCATGCTAGCAAAACCAACAAAGGGAGTGTCCGAGATCTTAAATAAATTCCAGGATTTGGAATTTACTTGTGAATACAAATATGATGGTGAACGTGCACAGGTGACTAAATGAAAAACTCAAAAGATGTGGTTTTCTGCTGCTATCTACATATTTCATATCGTATGGTTTCACTCACTTTATGTAGATACATTACTTGGAAAATGGTTCAGTTGAGATATACAGTCGAAATGCTGAACGAAACACTGGAAAGTTCCCCGATGTTGTTCTAACGGTATCAAGGTAGATTGAGACATACGAGTCAAATGGCTTTTTAAACATTTGGTTCCAGTTTAGAAGCAATGCATAACACAGTTTGGATTTCTTATATTTTTTCTATTAGGAAGCAATAAAATACTTGGCTATCCCTGTTTCACTTTGTTCTTTTCAGTTTGATTTTTCCATTTCATCTTTTATTTTATTCTTTATTGCATTGATTTTCATTGATTATTTTAATTAAGACCAGTTACAGTAAGTTGGATATGTTGCAATATTTTGTTCTTGTTGATGTTCCTAATACCCATTTATGCACTCATAATTATTTTTTTTCAAATTTATTGCATTTTTGCAGGGTAAAGAAACCATCTGTAAGATCGTTTATTTTGGATTGTGAACTTGTTGCTTATGATCGTGGAAAACAGAAGATTCTGCCTTTCCAGGTATACTGTATTTGTTTCCTCGTTTATATAATATGACAAAGATGCATTTGTATATGATATTTTTGGGTCCCTTATTAATATATACCTTTTTTTTTCTTACATCTTTGGTAGCTACCATGCCATGAAAATCAGATTAAAAAATATACATGAAACACAGCCAGAACTTGGAAGATTCAAATAATCATGCAAGAATTAGTCTGAAATCACTGTCTATGCTACTAAAGTCTTCTAAGCACATTCATCATTCTCTTTTTCTAGCCTGCATTTTTCCTTTCTGGTTTTCACCTCAAGGTTCAATACCTAACTAGCCATGAAGCCATCTCAAACTTTTCTTTCCAGGAGACCTGTTTCAATACCACTTTTAGTAGACGTCCTCTTCTTATAACATTGGTCTCTTGCCATTATCTCTAGCTTCTAGACTTACTACAGAAGTGACACTAACCCTTGAAATTTGTGACAGATTCTGAGTACTCGAGCTCGCAAGAACGTGGCCGTGAGTGATATTAAGGTTGATGTGTGTGTATTTGCCTTTGATTTATTATATCTTGATGGTCAACCACTTATTCAGAGAGAACTTAATGTTCGTCGAGAGGTAGAATTTTTTGCACTGCTTTTGTTAGTTTCATATTCTCTCTCTCTCTCTCTCACACACACATATATATAGATGCATGTTTCAGCATTGCTGTATTTTAATGTCATTTTATTTTTGTGTATATTAAAAGATATTAAGGATTAACTACTGTCTTATTGTCTATGGCATCTTGTAACATGGAACACCAATTCACTTTGCCCCACATAGTTTTAGCATTCAAAATTATCTTTGTCCAAATTATGCTTTTGGAGCATGAATAACTTGATGATTGAACTTATGGATGTATCATGCATGCTGCTCTCTCTCGTAAAGATGTTTGGGTTTATCTTAGTTTGCAACATTGAGCCCTAAGTGTATTGCAACATGGCCATCAGATGTTCCTTTTTCCTTCAACTGTTATGCTGTTCTTCAAAATGCTTTGATGGTCTCTGCAAATGGCTGTATCATTTATATCTCAGGTTCTGTACTTTTCAGCTTCTCTATGATTCATTTATGGAAGAACCTGGGTATTTTCAATTTGCCACCGCAATATTAACAAACGATCTTGAGGAAATACAGAAATTCCTTGATGCATCTGTTGATGAAAGGTGCGTTGCCTTCTCCTGGTCTACAAGGTTTACATTTTGTATCAACGTCTTTCTGCTATATAGTGGACCCTTATCCTGAAAATAAAAGCATCTGTGGTAATTGGCTAAACGCTTTTTTGAGCTGAAATTACTATGTATTTTATATGTATGCAATGAAGGTTCAGTATTTGCCTCATAAGTCATAACTCTACCTTATCGTGTTTTCACTTGGTTTCTACTTTCTAGTTTGAATATCTGATTCTTCTTGTGTTTTATTAATTAATCTTAGTTTGCAGTTGTGAAGGTTTAATTATCAAAACATTGAATAGAGATTCTACTTATGAGCCATCCAAGAGGTCACATAACTGGTTAAAACTGAAGAAGGACTACATAGACAGGTAAGTGGCTCGTGTATGTCTGTAATAAACACCGTATGATAATCTCAACTGAGTTTTATGGGTGCCTATGTATGCCTGTTCCCTGCAGCATAGGGGATTCACTTGATCTGGTACCAATTGCTGCCTTCCATGGCCGTGGGAAGCGTACAGGTACTATAACTGGAAAGCAGTTTTATCCTATGCTTGCAATAATTGCACGTGGCATTTAATTGTCTAAAATAATTGGTTTAAATCAAATGGCTCTTTCTTCCTGTATTATCCAACCTTATATGTGCACAAGCATGTATTTGTAATTTGTCATGTGCGTATATGAACCTGTAGCTGTGGTCACGTTGTTCTTACGCCACTAAAATATGTCCCTAGGTGTCTATGGCGCATTCCTCCTTGCTTGTTACGACAATGATAATGAAGAATTTCAAAGCATTTGTAAGATAGGTAAGCGATAAGGAATTCTTTGGCCTTCGTTTTTCCACTGAAACTGTCAGTGCTTGTCCATTTTTTGTATTTAACTGTCTAATATCAAGTTTTGATGACGCGTAGGAACTGGKTTTTCTGAAGCAATGCTTGAGGAACGTTCTACTAGTCTTCGTTCTAAAGTCATTACTGAACCGAAGGTCTGTCTTCTAATTCCCTTTATTGATGTGAACACTGGGGCTCCTTATATGATCCTACTTCCTAATTCAACATTTTCTTGTCAATTGTAGTCATATTATCGGTATGGAGATACAATCAATCCGGATGTTTGGTTTGAGCCTACGGAGGTAATGATGATGACTTCTTGCACTAATATCTCATTTTAAATTTTTTCTTCTTTTGCCTCTTTTTCTCTCAAGACTTCGCTGTATGCCTGTATCTTTTTAGACCCCTCAAAGAAATTATCAGCAATTTGAAAATTTATTCCCCTCCAATGTTAGTACTTAATTGAGAGTGGTGTGGGCTCTCTTGCCCCTCCCTCTTTGCGACAAGAGAGAAGTTTGGAAATAACATGAAAAATGGGCTTTCAAAAGATATTTCAGAATCAATAGATTCAGTATTGAATTACGTCACCGGAGTTGAAACTTAATATTTTTTCCCAAAATCTCTGGAATTTTGTTCTTCTTTGATCCTTTTTTAATGATAAGGTTTGGGAGGTTAAAGCAGCAGACTTGACTATTAGCCCAGTTCACCGTGCAGGAGTTGGCATTGTGGATTCTGATAAGGTTCTATTTGTGCACGAGTTTCTCTTTGTAATTTGTCGTCATCATTATTCTTCAATTCTTTATATAGTCCTTAATTTTTTACCGTTCATGCCTTTCTGTGTAAAGGGAATTTCTCTTCGGTTTCCACGTCTTGTTCGTGTAAGGCAAGACAAAACTCCAGAGGAAGCTTCATCATCAGAGCAGGTGAATATCACATACCCTCTTACTAATATTTTCTTTGGTACGATGGACGAAATGACCAACTAGAGGGGGAAAATTGAAGTATTCCAAATATTTTCAATATCTGTTTTATCAGTTCACGGATTTCTCAATACTGTTCTTATGAAACTTCTAATTATGCACATTTTGAATCAGGTTGCCGACATGTATAATGCTCAAAAACTCAACCATCAAAATAATCGAGATGATAAAGATGACGACTGAGAAATTGAAGTTTTTACTCGCTCCAAACGTGTTGCATTCTCAATTTTCAACTGGAGAATTATTGGCAAATTACCATGTTTGGTGCCATGGAACATGTCATTGTCTGCTTGGGCCCTTGAGTATGTGTCAGGTTCAAACGATCAGATTTTAGCCGACCTCGGTATTCCTTGCAATTGCAATACTTAAAATGTTTTCCTGATGTTGAGCAAGTAGTTACATGGCCCACATGTTCTCATAACACCTTTAACAATGTAGACAAAAGGTGAAATCAATTGTTATGTTACTTCTACTACGACATTTTGTACATTATAATTTATGATATTATATGAGATGTTTCTTGTATCGCGTTCAAGTCATATACTACGCCTCTTTCCAGGGGACACTTGTGCGAGTTCATATATGAGTGTTAACATCCATTTTATATGCCTGTAATAACCATAGCAAGTTTATCTTTGAATTTTAGTAAGCCTGGACTTGGTCTTGCACATATGTGTTCCCGACGTCGAGAAGCTGTGTTTGAATGAAGAGACAAGATAGCCAGACAGCCTAAGCCTTGTGGTACGATTATTTTATCAAAGTAGTCATGTATGAGAGGCCAAGTATAGTCTTCTTCACTGTTAACTTTAGTGAGCATCAGCGTGTTGACTGGGGCAGAGACCGCCCGCGATCACATGGGTTGTGCTGAAAATGGCTTGTTTACTTCTTGTATAACTATTTGTGGTCATCTGGCAAAGATTTCGGAGAAATTTTCCTTTTTTTTTTGTCTCTTGTCCTCACTTAGAAGAAATGCTTATGCAACTTGTAATGGTTTATATGGTTCTGAAAATCATCTYAAGACTGCAAATAATGGAACTTGAAATGAAATACACCATCAAAATAATGAAAATTTCTTTTTTTTTCTCTAATGTTCTGATGTGGATGACGGTTATTATAATAGAACTTTCAAAACAAATTGTTTATTTTGAGGTAGGAAGATCTGCAAGCAATTGCGTTGAGCGTTTGATGGGTTTGTATAGTATGTTTTTGCAGTAATCACAGACATTGACAGGCAATCGAACACGAGAAATCTCAGAATTGGAATTGCATTTTATATGGCTAGAACAATTCTGGAAAATTTCAACCCCGTTTCTCAGGAGTATCAAAAAGAAAGAAGGGAAAAGAAAAAAAAGAGTGTGAAGTAAAAAGGTGGGCATAAAAACTTCACTCAAGGGAACTGAGTCAGAGTGATGACAGAAGGGGGAGACTTGTTCTGTACAAAGCACTAAAAAGAAAATAAAATCAGCCACTAACCCAATTCTCTTTTCATCCTCATTAGCTCTTTACTAATATTAGACTATTGATTAACTTGTTGCTGATCTCTGTGTTGTTTTTGTGGTGGTCAGCAGGGAGCAAGCCTTTGGCACTTTGTCTCTGTTGGAGAATCAGAGCCTTCCAAGAATACCCTTTTTCTGCTTCCACAGTTGGTAATGTTACTGCTCCCATTGAAGGTGATCGGAGAATCTCGGAGGAGCTGCGGCGGCGGCGGCGGCGTTGAGGGAATTGTCACCGGCGGGATTTCAAAGGATTCAAGTGGCGGGGGTGGGTGTCTCCACTCAGGCAGAGGTCCGGCCACCAGAAGGGTCTGAAGCAGAGGCCCTGCTTTCATCACTGCTTCCAAGAGCTTCCCTTTTTCAGGCAATGGCTTCTCTGGAACCAATTCCACCGCCGCGTGCGGTGGTGCCTGCGGTGGAGCTGGAGGAAACTGCGGCGGCGGAATTGGGTCAATGGCCGGAGATGAAACAATGCTTTCTTCACAATCTGATGAGGAGAAGCCATTGTTGGAGTCAATTCCTTTCCTTGGCTCATCTTCAATGCTGGAAATTCCTGAATGGGGATCCGTTCGCTGCTGCTGGAGTAAAAGCTTCTCAATAATCAGTTTCTGGAACTTTTCATTTGCTTCATCTCTCTCTCTAATGGCTCTGCAGAAAAGATCTTTGAGATGAATCAACTGTTCATCTCTCTTTCTTAGCTCCTCTTGAACTGCAACTCTCGTTTGTTCCAGCTCTAGAGTCGCACAAAAAAGCGAATGCCTCAATTCTTCAACGTTCTGTTCCAAAAGCACACAAAATCAGGCTATCAGCTAACAAATGACAATTGGAAACAAACCCATAAGACAAATCCTGAAAATAATGAGGAAAAGAAGAAGCTTTTTTTTTTCTTTCCTTACCTTTCCTTGGAAGAAGTAAGCCCAACTCAGAAGAGCACTGCGTTGGTTTTCCATCACTGAACCCCAAAGAGTTTCAGAGAAAGAGAGAGAAAAAGGGTTGAGGTTTCAGACTGGCAGTTGAAGTTCTTATAAGAAATACATAATTGACACTGTTTTCTTTTGATAGATTTGTTGCTTTTTGTAAAAAGAGAAAAAAAAAAAAAGAAAAAAGAAAAGAAAAAAAAAGAGCAGAAACCGCCAAGAACCTAGCAGAAGCCAATTCCTAACATGCTATGATTTATCATCCAGACTGCTACACAGTTGCAGAACAAAGATCTCAAAAGAATTTCATTTATGAATATCGCCAATTAGAGGGCTACACAAGAAAAAACTGGTCTTCTCTGTTTTACTTTTTTTAATCCCAATTAAGATGCTTAAGCTTTCATTGATTATGATTTATGACTCTGCTTTTTTCTGCAACTTGAACTAATACAGGCACAAAAGCTTCTAATCAATAATTACTTGTGTTATAGATCAGATTTTTTTTTCTTTTCTTTTCTTGATGTGAAAAAATGGAGTTGTAATTTTCGATTAACTGTAAAAAAAATCTCATCTTTGAATTGTCTCACACGTGGGCTGCCTGCCTTGATAATAAATCCAGACTGGGTTTGTTTTTATTTCTCTCTTTCTTTCAATTAATGCATTAATGACTGGTTTTTTTCTGCCCCCACTGTGATTTAATGTAATTTTCAGAGGGGGAATGTAGAAGGAAAAAGAAAAAAGAAATTTATATTTTATTTCATGTATTTCTTAATGCATCCACTAATTAGGAAAAATCTAGTCTATAATTGTAAAAGACAAAAAATTTTAATTTTTGGGTAATTTACCTCACTTTATTTTAGTCCACCTCAATACCAAATCCCTAATGTAAAATTCTCACTCAATTTATTAACTTTTAGCTTCCAATCTTGACCCTATTATAAATGTTATCGTAAATTCCGATCATATTATACCTACATTGCTACTAAAAATCTAAAATACTATAAATATGGTAGCTACAAAAAATACTTCTATAACAATATATATAATATATTTAAGAAAATTAAACCTACCCCGTTTAAATTTCTCCAAGTCTAATCCAAAATCCAAATACAAATTGTTACTATTTATAGTTAATAATTATAAATTTTGGTTTGGGCCATGTCACAACAACTTCAAACAGGAAGTCGTATAATATAAACAATTGAAAGCTAATATTAGGTAAAGATTCTTCAACTTCTTTTGAGATTTCAAGAGAATTTTTGTTTTTATTTGGACCAAAATTTTAAATTTTCTTTCTTTTTGAATAATATCTCCGGTCTTCCATGCAGACACCTTTCTTTGTCTCATTTAAATTATTTTTTATTTTATAAAATTGATGTGTATATTATTATAACTGGAGTTCTCCGTCTAATAATAACTAATACCAATTATCACAAGACCCAAAGCTCTTGCCACTATACCATCGAGAAGATGCTCTCTCTCACCCAATTACACCATTTTTAATCAAAATTTCAAAGTTTAGGGTCAGCTCATTAAATGTAAACATAGTAATGCTCCCATAATATATTTCAAATTTAAAAGATATAATATATTTTCAATTCAATGCTCATATCATATATTTCCATAAACATTTCCGCCTAATCATTTTACTTGAAATTCCAAAAGCGAAGACAAATCATAGTTACCTCTTTATTCAATAACTTTTTTTTTTAAGAATATTTTACATAGCTAAACTTGCTAAATATTCCACTTTTTAACACTTTTATGTTGATGGTCGAGTTTGCAAGGAGTACAAACAAAGTTCCAGGTAGAGAAAGTGGTGATACATGGTATATAAGGAAGAACAATTATTTCCATTGGTATGAGATCTTTTAAGTGGAACCAAAAACAAAATCAGCAAGGATTATGGCCAAAGTTGACAATATGATACTTGGTACCTAGGGTACCATTGTCCTTAACAGTTGTCAATGACGGTTCGAGTAAGTAAGCCTTCGAACAGAATTGTGTACTTGAGTTGTAAAAATTATGACATTCCTTTTATAGGTCGCTCAGGTAGAACTTAGGAGATTCTCTAGGTTATTTTAGCTCGAGTTTAGTCGTAGGTCGATCATTTCCGTTTCAAACGGTAAGTTTAACTGCATCCTATCGAGTTTAAGTTGATTAGTCCACGTGTCATGTCGGTTTTTACCGTACCATATATATATAGAATTGGACATTGTATTTTCGGCATATTTGGTGAATAAATGGAAACAAGATTAGGAAGAAGAAAAGGAAAAAGAAATTTGCATGTGGGATATGGATATTTGATGCATCCATTTCTGACTTGAGGAATGCAGAGCATGTGCAATGGGATACTGTGAGTGAAGACTAAAAAAATATGGAACCCCACAAAGTTTTAGATATATATGAGGCCTAATTTCATTGTCAATGCCATATGCTTTTTTTTTTTTGGCATTTCAAGTGGTCAGAGAAAGAAGCTGGTAACCAAACTTTCCCACCTACATTTTCTCCCAAGGGAAAAAGGTGATGGAGACCCAACTCTTAATTTTGCAATTCCAAACCATTCAGAAAAGTCCTCCTTGTGAGAAACATGGGTGAGCTTCTCTTGACTAATTCTCTAGCCCCATTTATTATCTATTTTCTCCCCATTTTAACTTCCTGTTCCGCGGCACGTTTTAAAACTATCCTTTTAAGTTAAGTTTTAAATGATGTAACATTAGTTGTTTTTTTAGTTCATATATAGTTTCTTAAGATGAAATTTTTATACTATTATCATCCGCTGATGACTTTAATGAGGACAATGACAATAACCTAAATGGTGAAGTTTTTGTTATTGTAGTATAATATATGGGGGTGGGAGATCGAACTTACAACCTCTTGATTGGAGATATATGTCAATTATCGTCGAACTATGCTCGTTTTGACAAATGTTTATGATCTTTATGGATTTTATCTCATTTATTAATTTCCAATTGAAAAGCTAAAGGTCTATTTGGTATGCAAACTGGATTCCGTTTTTTTGTATTTTACCTAGATTCATTAAATATCTATTTGTTTTTTATAACTGTTTTCAAATTCTAATAGAAATTCTGAAAACAATTTAGTGTTTTCCGATTTTGAATTTGAAACTTTTAAAAATGCATAATTGTATTGAAAAAGATAAAAATTTTGATCAATATACTATTTTACGTCATAAACTCATTTCATTTTTGTTAAAATTTAAAAAGGTAAAATATAATACATAATATAGTGTAAAATAATAATTTTACAAAATTGAATATTATTTTAGATTCTAACTGCACTACTTTACAAAAATATTATGAACATTTTTTTAAATTGAGACTCAATTTCTAAATCTGCTACCAAACTTATATCCAAAAATAGCTCTGATTATTTAACAAACTTTGATATCCGTAAGAAGTCTGGTTTTTTTAACCTAAATCAATCTTTATAAACAATATAAAGGAAATTTTCTCTTATATGACATTGTAAATTAAATTAAAACTTAACAATTAACAAGTGGATGTAATTGAGTACATATAACAAAAAGGACTATTTTATGAGGCTCAACTTCGACTATACATTATCTTCATAGCTTAAGATTTTGGTTAGGTTACGGTTTAATCTAATTCTTATATATGTTTATTTATATATTTTTGTAAGTAATCTTTTCATCTATTTACATAAATTAAAAAAATTCAACAAACATTTGTGACGTGATTAAAATTTTCTTTTGTCGAAACTGAAAGTCCCATTTCCTGTATAATTGGAAGGGAGATAAGGATAGAAAAGTCATCTCATCGAATGTGAGTTATAATAAAATTCTAAATTTAATTATATTTCGATAGAAAAGAGAAAAAAAAAAAGAAAATTTTGAAAAAATGAGATTCCTCTTGCTACTTTATGTCACATCCAAAATGTAATTATCTAAGGCATGATGTGTTAAAACCTTTTTGTAATAGCAACACGCCATGCTTTGCTGCCTAAGCAAATCCCTAGGAAGCGGCTAATTGAAGCATCAAATGCAAATGTAACTCATCTTATTGGAATAATATAATTTTCATATAGTTTCACATTTTCATTTTTCTAAAATTAAATAAAGCTTTGTCTTCTTTTGAATACTAACAACGTGGGTTGAATAGTGATTTTTTTTTTTTTTTAATTTGTTTTCGGTTGAGTTGTTCTCACATAATTAATCTTTAGTTTGAAAAAGATGATCTTCAAATATATTCCTATGAACAATATAAAAAACAGCACATGCATATGAACAATGCATAATAAATTTTATTTTACTACTTAAATATTTTTGTTATTAAATTACTATTAAACACCAAAATTTAAGATTTGTAGAATAGAATATATTTGGAACGTAATTAGTGGATAGTTAATTTTATTTGAAGAGATCAAAATGATATGGTAAAAATTCAAACACATGGAACTTCTTGTTATATAAGATACTATATTGTATCAATGTCAAATCCAAAGGTTTGGTTCGTTAATTGTTAGAGTATGTAATATGAATTCTTTTTTTTTTTTCGAGATTCCGAGAGTTGTTTGGGTTGCAATCTCTATCTTGGTACATGTTTTAGGTATTGTTATTTATCTAGATTTTGTTTGCTTGTTTTTCTTTTTAACTTTTTTACCTATTATTTAACTCTTTTGCTTCATAAAAAATATCGAAATAGAATAATTATTTAATTAAAATTAAACTCTAATCTCTAAACAATTCTTTATTCATAAAAGTTGGAAAGTTTAAATCTCGAGATTTTAGACTTGGCACGTAGTTGAGTAGAGAAATTAATAAAAAACAAAGAAAAGAAAAGAAAAGGATCGATACACAAAATAGGAAATAGTAAAGGTTCACAAGTGATGGCATTTACCAACATAATCATTCATTATGGTACCTATTAACCATAATTTAGTAAAGAATTAGACAGAATCATGTTCAAAAGATGAGACATAAGGTCCAACCCATTTGCATTTTGAAGATTCTTGTTTATCACATTATTTATTTGATTTCATTTCAAGATATTAAAGAAAAGTGTACAAGTGTGAATCCAAACCACTAAAGAAGAAATTAACCAAACTCTTTGGGGATTGTTGAATGCTCAAACCCCCTTTTCAAAAGAAGAAAAAAAAAAAAAAAAAAAAAAAAAAAAAAAAGAATCAAATGTCGTTCATATCTTTTTGACCCCTTCTTTCCTTTTCTTTTCATTATTTTGGACTTAGTGTGATCTCTTTTGATACATTACATTATTATGATTTTAATCCTTAATACCCAGACATTTGCTAAAGAAAATTTAGATTCCTCCTTT